AGTGGTGGAGAAATGAATGAATCCTTTTGTGTAAGGGTTTTGTAACTCAGTGAAGAGTTTAGAGCCTTTGCCAAAGGAGATATGTGAGTATTTTGCACAAGTTATATATAATATTTATATACTAGTAATGTAAGTTCACCAGTGTTGAAACACCTCTGTGGGTGGCGGCTAAGCGAGAGAAAGCTAAATCTCATTTGCCATACTTTAGAAGCCCTCCTTTCTAGTTCAGTCAGGAACTGTTGTTGGTCAGCTGTTTAATTAAAAAAGAAGTTAAAGTAGCTGAGTATATAAACATAAGAGGAGAGAGACAGAGAGATGCAAACCTTAAAGTTTTGAACTTAGAACAAATGTATGTGAATATATGTCTATATGCACATATGTATACACACACACACACATACACACACACACACAAACTTACATACTGAGGTTGAGTTTTTTATAAAAGGCCAAGAAATTTTCTTTGACACAGCGGTGCCAATTGCTAATCTGTGCTATATTTTTTTGCATGAGCACATTCATAATGCATCATCTATGATTTCTGGTTTTTAATTAACTTGAAGTACATAGAAGCTTAAGAATAATTGCTGAAGAGCCTGAGTACAGGATTCTTCTAGATTTTTATCGTATTATTTCTTTTTTGTTATGTATTTTATAGCTATCTCCCTCACACCTAAAATTAGGGAAAAAAATGATTGTGGTAAAACATAGAATAAAAGCTACATTTTAAMCATTCTTTATATAAGTCAAGAACATTAACTGTGTTCACAATGATGTGCAGTAATCATCACTATCCATTTCCAGAATTTTTTKAATCTTCCCAAATAGAAACTATGAACTCTTTAAACAATAAAGATCCATTACCCTGTACTCCCKGTCCTTGGTAACCTCTATTCCTCTTTCTATTTCTATAAATTTTGCCTGTTGTAGATACTTAYGTAAGTGAAATCATGCAGTATATATCCTCTGTATCTGGCTTATTTCAATTAGTTTAATATCCTCAAGTTCTTCTTTGTTGGAGTCTGTGTCAGAAATTTTCTTTCTTTTCATGACTGACAAATACACTACTATATGGTATACTACATTTTGTTTATCCATCATCTGTCAGTGTTATATTTTCCCCCARGTTTTGGCTATTGTAAACAGTGTTTCCATGAATATTGGTGTAGAAGTATCTGTTTGAGTCTCTGTTTTTAATTCTTTTGGATTATGCCCAGGAGCAGAATTGCTGGATCATATGATAATTTTATGTTTACTCTTTTGAGGAACTGCCAAATTGTTTCCAAAAAAAAAAAAAAACCCACTTTCTCTTACATCAGTTTGTCTTTGTGAAGAATTTCCATGACTTTCAACCTGGTTTTCACAGAAGCAGCAATTGTCTTTTCTTCCAGTCCTGTATTAATCAATTTGAGCCATTTAATTAACTTTTATCATCACAATAACAAGTCCAAGTGTTTAGAAATGCATACAATTAATATTCACTAAGTGTACAACTCAGCTGGCAAGACCAGCAGTGCTTAGAGAATAAGTTTTCAGCCTTGACCCCAGTGTGCTGTGGGTACCAGCCAATACAAAGAACAGAACATGGAATGGATGGAGTCAACTGGTTAATCAGGCCAGTTCAGTGCTGGTAGGTGAAGAAAGCTTCTGCTACTCACCTAAATTGACCTTGTCATGATAAAATGTGTAAGAAATTATTATGGAAGATCTAGAAAAAAAATCAGCTGCCCTGGAGAATGGCAGACTGTGAAGGCAAAATAGAGTGAGAAGTTGGCTGATCTGGTCAATTTTGTATAAATTATTGAATGTAAGAAAAGACTAATGAGCAAGAGCAGCAGGTTGATTTCCCAGGCCACTTCCCACTTCGGGTGATAAATGAAAGAGAAACAGGGGAAAGGGAGTTGTACCTATTCTTAGGAAAAAAGATAGCTTTCAAATTAAGATTCCATGCTAAGATGTGATTAGAATGTGTCCTCGACCATTCCAAAGTGAAATCATGAAGCTATAGAAGGAATACTTTTATATAGCATCTTCCATCCTTGTTAGCTACCCAAATGATTAAAGGCTTGAGAATTGCCCCTCTAAATATGGCCTGAAGGAACTGGGTTTATTTAGCTTAGAGAGAGAAAGCAAGCATGCTGAGGGGGACTTAATAATAGTCTCTGAGAATATGAGGGATATTCTCTGAGTGATGGAAAGCAGCTGTTTCCTGTTTCCACTAAGGACTGCATAAGAAGAGTGGAGTTAAATTGCAACAAGTGGATGTAAGGACTCCTTGTCCATAAAGTTCAAGACAATAAGCCCACAAGACTAAAGTCACTTCTCTGCTTCAGAACTATAATAGCTAACTCTTTGGGGGGGGGGGTGATTTACATGTAGCCTGTTCCTGAATCTTGAACTAGTAAAACATCTAGACGACCTTTCACCCTTTCAGAGTATGAAGTTGTTCATTGTCTGAGCTGGCTAATGCCCTGATTGTGGAGGAAGCCATTATCCTCAGTCTTTCATGATATTTAAACCAGAAAGAACTCCAGTCTCTGCTCCCCTTTGTTGTGTTTTCAGAGCAAGATAATCCAGATTTATTCCTTCTCTATGAGGTAAAGAATTTTCATAGACTTGCCAATATGTATTTTTATTGTCCATTTGGTCAGTATGGTCATGATTTATTTATTTAAAAGAAATGCAGTGTCTTCAGTGATATTGAATATTATATATATGTGTGCGTACATATATGTCACATATGTCCTGGGCATTTAATATGTGATACACTTATTTTGATACATAATTAAACTATTAAATCATTATGTCATATATATATATATATATATATATATATATATCACATAATAATGAAAGCAATGTTTTAGGACCATAGAAAATATGCAAAACATTATGTAATAGTGTATCACTATAGGAGATCAGCTAGGAGAAAAATCTAAAGACAGAAAAAGGAGTTCTGGGTATGTTATTAACTTTTAGCCAGTAAGACAGATGGAAATGCCTGAGAATTTCTTCGCAAGCATTATTTTTATCCTTCCTATCCTATGTTAGTTTAATTATGCCATTTATTCTGAAGTGGATAAGTAGTGTCTTACTTGCCCAACTGGGAGTTATTTCCAAGGAAAGCTTTGATTCCCAGAGGACTGACTGATGTTAAGCAAAGTTACAGCTTTATGTCAGCATTAACTGTGTGTACATTCCACCATGGTATATTTTCATCCTGTACTGACATCTATTATAATCTTATTTAAAGATCTCTGCCTTTATTATTAAATGTGTTCTGCCATCTGGAAAGGGGTCAGGGTGAATCATGATCTGACTTTGACTTCCCTAACATTTTTTTTTTTTTTTGGCTTTCCAAATTCCAGCACTGAAGTAGAAAAATGACTTAGAGTTGCTTTGTATCCTCTTTCTGTGCTTGTTCACTGTGAGGGACTAAGGGACTTACTTCGCCCCCTGAGTTTCTGTTTCTTTAATCTACCTTACAGCAATATTTTGAGGATTACATTAAGTGAAACAATGTGTGCCAAACCCAGAGCCTGTTGTGCCCAGCCCTCCAGTCATGTTTATTTGCTTCTTTAATTCACAAAAACAATCATTTGCCTATTGAAGGATCATGATTGCTTCTGGATTCTCTTTATTTATAGGGGTTCTTTGGACCATTGGGGCAGGCCTGTAGAATATGATTTGTGAAAAATTCATGAGGACACCCAAGAGTCCAATCATAAAATCTCTTTCCTCTTTTATACTTTCTTAATCCAGAAAAAAAAATGACTACTATAATGCCAAATATTCTTGTGTTGTCAAATCACCTGGAATAAATTGTGTCTACACACTGACAGGGAAAATGCATTTTAAAATCAATAGGAAATCACACTTTTTTTTTTTTGCTTTGCAAGGCTAACAGAGAGTTAATCAATTATTTAGATCTTCAGAGAGTCACTTAATAGACAATGATTCAACTGAGTCCTATGCTTTGAAATGCTATCAAGTTGAAAGCATGATCCTTGACTTGGAGAAGCTTGTGAACTTGTAGAAGAGACCAAACCCATAAGTATGGTATGAAGAATTAGACTGAATGTAAGAAAGGACAGGGAAAACAGGTCCTAAGCACCTAAGTACTGAGGAAGCAGAGGCTGTAGATTAAGGAGAGGATTTACTGTAGCTCTAGGAGACTTAGGATGGTGGATTGGTTCATAAAACATTACTGTTTCAAGATAGAATTGTTGAAAACCACCACAACTATTCACTTCCCATAGAAACCCAAGAACATGCTGTAGTTGTTCTTTACTTATTTGAAATCAACATTTCTTTCTAAAGTCTCGGTTTTGAGCTGATTTGCTTTCAGCCTCTCAGAGGCACACTGTGCCAGATTGCTCCTGCCCAGATTCATTCTTAGGCTGTGGGATATGGAATATCTTTATAAATCATCACAAGTCGTACTGAGAGTAAAAATCCCAGCTAGAGGCTTACCTCAAAAGCTGAGGCAGGACACATATTTTAATGCCAATGGATTTAGGAACCAAGGTTAGGACCTTGCTGTCTTTGGCAGAAGATTTATAATTCAGGGACTTTGGAGGGTGAGCGTTGGGTTTTCTGAACGGGACGTCCCCCCCAGTCCCTCTCTGTACCCCAGCTCAAGAAATAAGGAAGCAGAACAACAAAACCATTAACTTAATAGCATAGAATTTATGTCCAAAATCTCACAAAGCTTATGTCAGCAAAGCAAAATAATTACTGCCACTTTCTTTTAGACACTTGGCTTTATGGTTCCCGTCACCTTTATCATAACATGCAGCTGATTTAGTAGCTCTATTTTTCATGGCAAATGGCCTGGTGTTATGTTTTTATGTATGTGGCCATGCTTGAGATGACAATACGTGGACACACTGGTGTGCAGCTAAATTTAGATAATGAATCAGGATAATGTTAATGGTTGGGGTTTCGTCAGGCTGTCGGTATGCCAACTGAGCTTTAGCTCTTGCCTTGTCTCCCTCTAGATCCTCAAATCCAAAGATTTAACATCTCCAACCCAGCGCTACATTGACAGCAAAGTCGTGAAAACAAGAGCAGAAGGTGAATGGCTGTCCTTCGATGTGACTGATGCAGTTCATGAGTGGCTTCACCATAAAGGTTATAACCACCTTCTAGTTTTCTCCCTAGATGTGTCCCTAAGTTATTGTAAATCGAATTGCAGATTTAAAAGTGCAGATAATATACTTACAAATGACCTCCTTGACTTAATGTTTTCCAGATAGGAACCTGGGATTTAAAATAAGTTTACATTGTCCCTGCTGTACCTTTGTACCATCCAACAATTACATCATACCAAATAAAAGTGAAGAGCTAGAAGCAAGATTTGCAGGTAACTGAAACTGCGTGGTGGGGGAGGGCTTGTGTTGATAATCTCATGAGGATAAAGTCACTTTGCATTGTTGGATGAAGTGTGCTGGCAAAAATATGACTGGAAAAAAGTATAAGGAGGCAGAAAAGACTAGAAGAAAGGGATTGTTTCCCGGTTTTCATACTCGGCAGTACCCCACCATGACTTGGTCAATACTAACTGATTGGCTCATTGACCCTGAAAAATATTGACTAGTCAGTTAAACTCTTTATTCTTCATTTAAGCAAAGCTCATTTTCCATCTATTATGATATTATAGAACTATATGACATACACTCAGTGAAATCCATTGATAAGTCCCTAAACCAAATATCAGAAACCGACAACTGTTTTTCATCAGAGAAAAGAGTCCTCTTAAGCCTCAGTTTCTAAGCCTTAACTTCCCTGTGTTGGAACAGTCGCCCTGTTCTAGCCTGTACCCAATATTTCAAGTTTCTTCCTTATCAGACTTTTATAATAGCTGATAAACACAAAGCAAGGCTTTAGATTTCCCATGCCTACCTTTAAGTGAACTAACCAAAAACCAGAGAGAATAAGAAGATGCCAAGGGCTTGGGTCACTTGGTACATTGGATAATGAGTCACTGGGGAAAGAGACCAGAGGGAAGCCTGTGCCCACGTGCCAGTGCCACATCCGCCTACACTGCCAGGTCAGGGAGCTGATTTCTCTTCCCTCCTAACATCACCTGGGACCTCCATCCACTTTTAAAAGGCTACAGTGGCCCCCACTCATAGAAAAATGCTCCCAGAAGTTTCGAGATTTATTTCAGTCTCTAACCTAGTCATGATTCTCTTGAGTGTGGAGATTAAATGCTTAAACTGGCAGTCTCCTGAGCATGCTTTGGGGAGCTCAAGTTTCTAAATCTCAGATGGAATCAGGAAAGTGTTGAGGATGCCATAAAATAAATGAAAAAGCCCTTTCTTTGCAGCTTCCCAAAATAGCATTAGGTAAGGGTGACTTCTGTTTCACTTGAACTTATTTCACTGCCATGGAGCTAAGTCTCAGTTTAGGCTCATTAGGAAAAGTCTTCTGAGTTTAGCAGTCTTAGGAAGAATGTGAGCCTGCGGGTGACAAGGCATKTTCTATGGCTGCACGTTCATTCGTGGAGGGTTTGAACACAGCCTACACTGAGGATCGACTAAATTAAACTGCCTAGGTTGCCTGTGACCATGGGTCAAAGTCTTCTTCTGCTGTGACTTCCTAAGCAACAGCTCTGCCTTTAATGCTGTGCTGCCTTCTGATAAGAGACCCACATACAAGTGTAGTCACCTGTGGTAGTCCTATTATATGCCACATCTGTTTCCATGGGGAATGACTATAGCCAGCCAATGCTGTCATGGTGGTCATCACTGCTATTTGTGACTATATACAAAAGAAAAAAAAAAAAATATATATATATATATATAGCTGATAATATATGATGAAGGTAAAGCTAAATGTTTATTACCTAAATGCATTTTTTCAAGGTATTGATGGCACCTCCACATATACCAGTGGTGATCAGAAAACTATAAAGTCCACTAGGAAAAAAAACAGTGGGAAGACCCCACATCTCCTGCTAATGTTATTGCCCTCCTACAGACTTGAGTCACAACAGTCCAACCGGCGGAAGAAGCGTGCTTTGGATGCGGCCTATTGTTTTAGGTAAGAAAATGGAGATAAAACCGAGCACCTGTGTCTGTTATACCTTCTTCTGCCTTTACTTTTTCCTACAAATTGACTTGAGTTGAACTCATAGACTGAGGACAGTACAGCCCTGGTATCTTGTAATCCTGTTCCTCTCGGAGGCTTTGAGCAGTTGTTTCTCTGTTGTATTCAGCAGCCCGTGACCAAAGAACAAAGGGTGAAGGGGGAAAACTAGCCCCCCATGATGATCGCCCAAATCCCTCTGAAGGGCTTTGATGCTGAAAAAGAAAATGAGCTCTCTACCCTTCTTCCCAGAGAAAATAAATTCATTCTAGATGTGTGACGTTGACTCTATAATTCAGGAAGACCTGCCATCTGGGTGACCTTACCCTTCTCTTCAGAATGCCTGTGGTCACATTTTTTTTTTTTTTTGACAGAAACAGAGATGAGATAGTAGAGAGTGCCATTAGCTACAGAATCTTACAGAAGTAGGGGAACAGGATGAGAACTTATTTCTCATCCTGTGGTTTCCTATCCAGTTTGGTAAAAGGAGAGTTGTGGGACGATGCCGGGTCCTCCATGATAGCAGTGTCGTGTCAGAGGTCACCAGGCATTTTTCACTTTCAGAGCCTGTGATTGCATGCAACTTTTCCCTTGATTTCTAGTGTATTGTGATCAAGTAATGGGTGGTAAAATGCGGGATATATTCTCAAAGATAAATGCCTTAGATGGTTCTCTGAAAGTAACTCTTGTAATTTGGTTTTAATGTAAAAGGGCAATAGAGGCTAGCTAGCACAACTGCCACTTCCCTACATAAGCATTTGAGAGTAAAGGTTTGACTTTCTAGGTCACAGACAAGGGAGTCAGGGGATAGGACTCATGAGGTCATCCAGCGGGTTATCACAGCATCCTATCATGAAAGTCACTTAAGATTACAATAAGACGACTAACACCTAGCCCAGGCTATGTGGTCATTAGCTTCTTGTTGAATAAATGAATGGATCATTTTCTGGTTTGGGATAAGGCAGGTGGGAAATCAGCTTTAAAATCTCCACTGATGTTTCTTTCAACAGAAATGTGCAGGATAATTGCTGCCTACGTCCACTTTACATTGATTTCAAGAGGGATCTTGGGTGGAAATGGATACATGAACCTAAAGGGTACAATGCCAACTTCTGTGCTGGAGCGTGCCCATATTTATGGAGTTCAGATACTCAGCACAGCAGGGTAAGTGTTTGGCTAACTCATCTCCTCTGTTCTAGGCTGTCTGCTATTGTATTTTTAAATGAACTGTAATTGTTTTTATGCCCTTTTGCCATCATGTGTGCCTAGGTGCTGGATAAATCTTTTTAGATGAGGAGAAATGTAGGCTGTAGGTAAAATAAAAAAGTAACACTGATCCCTTTCAAAAGCAGATCACACCTTCTCATCAAGATCATAAATGACTTGAAGAGAGTTTTGTTTCTTGTTGTATATTTTTAACAGCTATACACATAATTAGGTTCCCCACTCCACACACACAAAAACAGTTTGAATCAATATACACATAGTGTCATATATAGCTAAGGTGTGAAGGGACCCAGAGGTCCATCTAAAAAAATATCTGTTATCACCTCCATTGGGGATTGGCATATTAGAAATAACACTGAAGACTGCAGTTGGTGCTTTGGTGTATGATTTACTGTAGTAGGAGAATTAGAAAGTCCTTTAACCTCTCTGAACCTTAAATTTCTAATCAGTAAGAAGGAATGTCTATATTAAAAGTTATCTTTTTTTTTTTTTTTTTTGGTTCCAGGGACTGAACCCAGTGGGCCTTACCCATGAGCCACATCCCCATCCTTTTTTATATTTTAGTTTGAAATAGGGTCTTACTGATTTGCTTAAGTCCTCGCTAAGTTGCTGAGGCTGGCTTTGAACTTATCATCCTCCTACCTCAGCCTCCAAGCTGTTGGGATTATAGGTGTGTGCCACCAAAAGTTATCTTTAAATTGATAATGCTGAACTGGAGAGTTGTTGTGAAATACAAAAATGATACATGTGAAATTATTGGAAAATTAACATAAGTCTTTCTGAATACAGCCCAAAGTTATCAAGAATCTGCATATATTTAGTCAAGTTATTTCCATCGAGATAGAGGGCTAACTTAGAAGGCAGGTCCAAGTTTGGATGCTGTGGATTCCCAAATCCAGATCAGCAAAGTCTTTTTCTTTATAATAATGCTATTTTTCCATATGCTTCTTCTTTCCTACATCCTTCATGATATAGGATTATAGAGATGGAAAGGACTTCATCAATAATCTCGTTCAAACCTTAACATTTAAAAAAAAAATCAGAATGTCGACTGTGTACATGACTTGCCCAAGATCAAACAGAAAATGAAGGACAAACCAGGGCTTGGAAGGCAGCCGTCCTTTTTTATATAACCAGGCCTCTATTTGCTCTGTCTTACTGAGTATAATTCCTAAAATGTGGCTTCACATGGGGGTTTCTATTCTGCTCTTTATGCGTCTGTAAATCTCCCTATTAAAGCGGCATTAGAAAAATTGCCTTCACTGCAGGGTAGGAAAATGAACCTGCTGCCAAAAAGAGCACAGAATGCATTCAGCTGAATTCAAGAGTTTGGGGGGTTATCAATTATTTTAGACAATCTGTGTTATAAAAATTCCTCCTCGGTTCTCATGAAAAATCATGTGTTAGTGGAATACGAAGTATATTTATTTATAAATGCCTGCATAGGCTGGAAATGAAATTGACAGATACGGTTCCCCTTCCTTCAGCTGTTTTCCCAACTCCCCTGAAGGCTTTGGCACTCTCGGGTGACCACGTGCTTGCCCATGTGAGGGAAGCTTGCTCATGCCTGTCCCTTTGTCTGAGCTCTCTGGCCAGGCTGCTTCATCTGGGCTGCGGCAGCAGTAGCTGTAATGTGGGCACGGCCCAGCTGCCAAGTAGAAACATAATTCTCCTCCCCGATACACAGAGGGAGTGTGTGAAGGCTCAGACCAGGCTTGTTTTTCAAGGAGAGAGGAAGAATAACTGTCATGGTCACAAATATGTGGTTTGGACCGTTACCCAAGACACCAGGGGTAGCTTAATAAAGTAGTCAGTGTTGCTGCACTGAACAGATCTTGTGTCTTAGGATGAAAAAATTGCAGTGAATCTCGAGGAAAAGGTCACTTACTGTTTGACTAACACATTAATGGCATCCTTGGAAATGTCTCTGTGTCATCAGTGTGGATCCTACATACTTCCATTAGTAAAAGTCATAGACTCTTTGATACAGAATGGGGACAAAAGTACAGGGCTAACTACACAACTTTGTCTTCATTCCGTTTTAGAACTGGCTGTCCACTCCTCCCTCTCAGCCACTACCATTTATCATATGAAAGGTTAATGGAAGGTTCATTATTATTTTTTAATGTACTTTCTGGTTGTACATGGACACAATACCTTTATTTTATTTATTTTATTTTATGCAGTGCTGAGGATCGAACCCAGTGCCTCACTTGTGCCAGGCAAGCGCTCTACTGCCGAGCCACAACCCCAGCCCCATGGCGGGTTCACTATTAATACTGCTTTTAAGAAAAATCTAAGAAAGTGAATAATGAAGAATGTAGATTGCGTTTGATGCCATTCTTAACATCATTGCAGTTATGAAGCAACAGTAAATGAAAAGACTTTTAAAAATGACAATTTAGGCCAGGTGGCATGGCACATGCCAGTAATCCCAGTGATTTGGGAGGCTAAGGCAAGAGGATCGAAAGTTGGTGGCCAGCCTCTGTAATTTAGGGAGGTCCTAAGCAACTTAGTAAGATGGTCTCAAAATAAAAAATAAATAAAAGAGCTGGGGATGTAACTCAATTGTGAAGTAGTGCCCCTGGATTCAATCCCCAGTGCAAAAAACGAAAGAAAGAAAAACGACAATTTGGTGGCATTAAATTGTCCTGCAAAGATAATTAACATAGAAAGATTTTACATTATATAAAGGTGTCCTTTTCTATGCCCAAGGGTAAGTTGAAGCTCTAATGACAATTTTAAACATTTTATTATTTTTTTCTTTTTTATCCATGTATCTATGATCTCTTCACCTAGCACAAATGTATTATTTTGTCCAGTCAAGACTTACTAGGGCTAAATGATACAAAGTCTACAGAGTCCTCAACCTCAAAAGATCTCTTAATTTTCTTGGGAATTTAAAACATACACTCACAAAACAATTTCAGTTAAAAAGTGGTTTAGAAACAAGACCGAATACTACAAGATATGGCAAATGTATGTGGCCTCGATCAGAGTAGGCAAGTTGGGAAATTAGGAAAATCTGCAGAATGAGTAATTTTGTCCAATCTGACTTTTATAGATCACTTGTTTAAAATGCATGAAAAAAAAAGCATCTAGTGCAGAAAGGGTGAGTTTGGTGATTGCTAAGGACACATACCAATCTGACCAAAATTTAAAGTAAAAAAAAAAAACAGTAATATACCCCAAATAATTAAAATTGCCTACTAAGTGCTTTGGCTGATAACAATGTAAAATGGTTGTTGAAAAGATAATATGGCTTTTCTTCTCTCTTTTTTTTTTTTTGTTTTTGCTTTTATTTTGGTCTTGCCCTGTGGTATCACTCCTTTCCTGTGTCTATTCAGGTTCTCAGTTTATATAACACCATAAATCCAGAAGCATCTGCTTCTCCTTGCTGTGTGTCCCAAGATTTGGAACCGCTAACCATTCTCTACTACATCGGCAAGACACCCAAGATCGAACAGCTTTCCAATATGATTGTAAAGTCTTGCAAATGCAGCTAAACTTCTTGGAAAAACGACAAGGCAGAAATCATGATAACAACAGCAACGACCATGATGATGCTTGTAACAAGAAAACATAGAGAGCCTTGTTTCATCAGTGTTAACAGATTTTGAAAAAGCGGTACTAGTTCAAATACTTTGGAAGTTTGCGTTCTGTTTGTTAAAACTGGCATCTGAAACGAAAAAAGTGGAAGGCCTTATTCTACATTTCACCTACTTTGTAAGTGAGAGAGAAGAAGCAAAATCTTCTTTTTTTTTTTTAAGAAAAAAAATAAACACTGGAAGAATTTGTTAGTGTTAATTATGTGAAAGAAAAAAAAAAAAACAGGAAAATCCCATTAAGTGGAGTTGCTGTACGTACCGTTCCTATCCCACGCCTCACTTGATTTTTCTGTATTGCTATGCAATAGGCACCCCTCCCGTTCTTACTCTTAGAGTTAACAGTGAGTTATTTATTGTGTGTTACTATATAATGAATGTTTCATTGCCCTTGGAAAATAAAACAGGTGTATAAAGTGGAGACCAAATACTTTGCCAGAAACTCATGGATGGCTTAAAGAACTTGAATTCAAACGAGCCAGAAAAAAATAAGAGGTCATATTAACGGGATGAAAACCCAAGTGAGTTATTACATGACCAAGCGAGTCTGCATTAAGATAAAGACCCTGAGAACACATGCCGTGTACCAACTGCCTAAGGAAGCTTCGTGTAAGGTTCAAACACTAAAAAGCCTGTTAATAAGAACAGAATGAGTCTGTAAGATTTTTTTTTTTAATTTTCCTTTTAATTGTAAATGGTTCTTTGTCAGTTTGGCATACCAGTGAAATGTTGAAATGTTTTGACATGTACTGATCAAACTTAGGACCTTCGAGTATTGCTGTATAGCTATGCTACAGTTTTTATTTTTTCTTTGTTTTGGTATATGTAACCAGTCCTGTATTATTAAAATAGATGGGCATAGAAGCCAGCATAATTGAAAACACATCTGCGGATCTCGTTTGCAAACTATTAAATCAAAACATTAACTACTTTACGTGTAATGTGTAAATTCTTACCATATTTTTTATATTCTGTAATAATGTCAACTATGATTTAGATTGGACTTAATTTGGGCTCTTTTTAATGATCATTCACAATTGTATGTTTCCTTTAGCCGGCCAGTACTTTTGAGTAAAACCCCTAGATTTTGACTTGCACTATAAATACATTTTTAAAATAGTATTTGCTCTACTTGTGCTTTGTGTATTGTTCATTTTTATGACATAAGCTACCTGGGTCTACTTGTCCTTTTTTTTTTCTTTTATGAAAAGAATAGATTTGAGTTCAAGTGGTCTTCCTGCATCTTCTAAGCATAATTCATAACCAAGTCAGTTAGGAAGCTTCTACTTTAGGAAAATGGGGATATTGTGAACACATAGATAAGTGAGGGAAATGTTTTAGTTTTAATGAGGGTTTAAAGATCTGAACTCAGAATCTTGGACTGAGTTAAGAAAGGGTTCTCTAATTTGACTTAATTAGTGTTTTCACAGAATTTCATTATTACTTTAAAGAGGGCAGTTCGAAGAGAACATCTTTTCCTTTAAAGTGAGATTTTTTAGTGTTAACGGGAAATTGAAAAAATAGACATTTTATTTGGTTTTTCAAAAGAGGGAAGAGTCCAGGTCAGCATTAGTCATTTCATTCATTTCACTGAAGTTAAGACTTTTATAGATGTTCTTTGAAGGTTAGAAAGGCACAAGCCAGAGCCTCCCCTGATCAAAACATTCTTTCCTTCCTCTGAATAAGAGTCACCTAGAGCTGAGGCTAACACTTACTTTGCTTTAATAACTGAGTTGCATCATTGCAGAGGAGGTACCTCGTGTTAGGTTTGTAGGATATATTTGTCACTTATTCAGGTTTAAGATAAAAATGTACAGGTAAAACAATGGAATACTTTCAGTTTCACCTAAAGGGCAGCAGAGTGAGGCATGAATCCAAAGAGAAGTTGATTGGTATGGTGTGCTTCTTTTTTGGAATTTCTCACCATGAATTCAAATGAAGAATTGGATTTTGCAAGTTTGAAAACTGGAAAAGCAAGAGATGGGATGCCGCAAATAGTGAACAATCCTTGTGTTGGGTGGAACCCAATCCCAGATTTGACTGTGTGTTATTTTCTTTCCTCTTCCACTTTTCTATTAATTCTGTGTAAATCACTTTTATTTCTGCAGGTATTTTCCTCTCATATAAAACGACATTTTGTTTTGTATTATTTTGTCTTTCCTTATGAATGCACTGATAATATTTTAAATGCTCTATTTTAAGATCTCTTGAATCTTTTTTTTTTTAATTTGGGGGTTCTATAAGGTCTTTATTTCCCATAAGTAAATATTGCCGTGGGAGGGGAGGGTGGTGGGAGGGAGTTGGGGAAGTGTTAGTACGTGGGTGGGGACAGCAGTTTGTATGTGTTAAGCAGCAGTACAATTTTATGGTTGGCATGGTTGAAAAGATGGAATATAAGAATAGCTGTTTTGTATTTTGATGACCAATTATGCTGTATTTTAACACAATGTATGTCTGTTTTTTTGTGGTGCTCTAGTGGTAAATAAATTATTTCAATTATATGTTGCTGTGTTTTTCTATTCTTAGTAACATCCTTGAGACCAGCAAACACCCGTGATGCATGATGCACTGAGAATATTCTCAAGCTGGAAAAGTCAGGTCACCCCTAAAGTTGTCCTTTGTACTTTTTTTTTTTTCTTCTTCTTCTTCTTCTTAAGAATATTTGCTTCAGAAATGACATGCTATAGCTCAAGAGCCAGGACATATCTATCAAGGACTGAAGAAAGCCCTGTGCAGTCTTTTTATTCTCTTATTTATTGCTATTTGGTAATTGTTTGAGATTTAGTTTCCATCCAGCTTGACCGTCTACCAGAAAAAATGCAGAGAGATATTTCCACCATGATTTGGCTTTCTGGTTCTATGTTCTGCCAACGCCAGGGCCAAAAGAACTGGTCTAGACAGTATCCCCCGTAGCCCCATAACTTGGATAGTTGCTGAGCCAGCCAGATGTAACTAGAGCCACGTGCTCTTTAGAGTTGGTTGTTGGGAGCAGCTTACTCCTCTCTCAGTTTCATCCGTACCACTGTGCGCTCACATGTGTGTGTGCAACACACACACACACACACACACACACACACACACACAACACCTTCCCTCAAATTTCCCTGGCTGTTACTTACAAGACCAGACTTCTCAAGTGAGTTGCAAGTCTCAATAAATAGAACTAATAAAAAAGTAGTTGTGACTCAATCTGGTTTTCTTGCTTTAGCTAATGAAAGAACTAGTTTGTGCCTGTTGTGTCCTCTGAGCATCACACAGAAACAAACCACCTAATTGAGTATTGAAGCATATAGAAAATGTTCCCTTTTCTGCAATCTTTCTTGTGTTTGATCATTTAAGTGCAACTCGTAGGCAGAAGAAGTGTTCCACTCTCAACGTAGTTCAGCTTCTGTATAGAGTAAGTCGCTGGTGCCAGGCCTATCGCTCCAGCTCACCACACATTTAATTGCTGAGTGAGGGTGGAAGGGTATTTTAGGATCACAGTGATGCAAAGAGCCACCTAACAGTTGACCCTGTGGTGCATTTCTTGGCCACTCTATGTCTTTGTCAGTTTTGTTGTTGATGGTGGTTGTGCTGGGGGTTGAACCCAAGGCCTGATACATGTTAAGCATGCAGGGCTGCACTTGGCCCCACCATTTCTTTATCTTTAAATGAGGATGAGAACATCTGCCTTGCTGAATTTTGTCTGTTTCTTTCTACGCCCTTGTGGTTAAGTGAATGAACCTCTGAAAAGTACTTGTCTTGGTGTTTGGTCTGTAGCTGATGATCCCTAAATGGTAATCTCAATGATATTTTTCAGCCTGTTCTGGTTTTAGTTTCTTTCAACCCTGTTGTAATGAGCATTTAATTGCCTGTGTATGGCCTAGGTCTACACTTCTACACTTCTGCATCTTGATACTGTAACCTTCAGATCCTTAGCTCATGAATTGATCAAGCCATCAGTCATTCCTGAAGATGTTGCCTAACGCTGTATGTTAATCTTCTGGTTACATCATGGGCAAAAAAAAAAGTTTTAAGTTAGAGTGGGAATGCTCATTTTAAGCTTTGCTTAAATCTGAAAAAAAAAAAAAAAGAATCAAAAAAGGGATAAGGTGTCCAGTTGCATGACTCTGTCCCTAACATGTAACAATCTTAGTGTCCCAAGCACATAACAGACACTGCTGTCTGCTAACTGATTAAATCTCACATTTAACCCTAAGATGTAGGTCTTTGTAATATAAATCCATTTTCAGAGAGGTAAACAGATGAAGCATGGTTACGTTAATTGGTTCAATAACATAGTTTGTAAGTAGAGGGTCTAGGACTCAATTGTACAATACACTAACTACATGTGGCTACTTGAGCAATTTCAATATGGATAATATGACTTGAGATATGCTAGAAGTATAAAATACACACCAGATTTTGAAGACTTAGTACAAAAATGTAAAATGTAAAATGCCTCATTTATAATACTTTTTATATTGGTTATGCGTCTAAATAATATAATTTTAGATATATATGGGATTAAATAAAGTATATTATGAAAATTGATTTCACCTGTTTCTTTCTCATTTATTTCATGTGGTTATTAGAAAATTGAAAATTACATCTGTGGCTCATGATTATGCCTTCGATTTATTGCTATTTAGATGGTTCTGGGGTAGCATTTAAAAGCAGCTGTGTTTAGAAACAAAAGCTCAGCCATTCCTTGAAGCTATATTTCCAGCCTTTGTTTCTGTCGTTGAACCATTTCAGGTCATACTCTACGAAGCTGCTATTTTTGTAGGTCAACACGTGTTGAATAGTGGCAGTTCTCTAGGGTGCTGATTGACAAAGGTCGTAATGAAAATTCAAATCTCACGTAAACCTCAAGGGTTTACATAAACCCGAACTGCTATGTCCTGCTAAGTGACAGTACAACCTACTCCTAGGCAAGCTGGGCCATTGTACCAAAAATCTTCACTAATGTGCTTGTGACAACTTTTCCAATCATGTTTAAGGGAGAAGTCACTGGTGTTGAGATGACATTGATTTTCTGGAAATAAGCTGGGCTCCTTCCTCACGCTAACAGCCTTAGAGGTATGGATCCAGGCTTTTATTCCTGAAACTAATATAAGTGGAGATAGTTTCTAAAAAAAAAAAAATCAAAATTTAAAGTACAAAATTTGATTTGGAGCCTTCAGGAAGAGCCCACAATGAATCTCTGGGCTTTAATTAACAAATTCCTTTGTTTCTATGAAAGCTATACCTGTGATTTTAGCAAAAGCTAAATCCTGAAGCTTCTGCTTCTTTTTTTGTACTAGAGATGGAACCCAGAGGTGCTTAACCACTGAGCCACCTTCCCAGCCCTTTTTATTTTTTATTTTGAGACAGGGTCTTGCAAAGTTGCTTGGAGCTTCACCAAGTTTCTGAGGCTGGTCTCGAACTTGCCATCCTCCTGCCACAGGCTCCAGAGTTACTGGGATTACAGGTGTGTAACACCATGCCCAGCCCCACACTTTTTTACTTACCTACTAAACTGATCACTCTGTTCTCTGGCCCTTTTCTTGTCTCTGTCAATATATTCTATGTGCTAAACAAAGAAAAAAAAAARACAAACCTGATTTTACTACCATTCCAGGTCAGAGGCAATAGAGGAAATATTTTTCTACCTCTTTTGGAACATAAGAACTAGATCCTTTGAGGTTGGAGAAATCATTAATACAAATATTATCCTGGGATCAACATATATGAATACTTGAGATTGCAAAGGGAAGGATTTTCAGTTGCCTTTTTTCAAATGAAAATATTGCTTTAGGTTTTTCCCTAATTGAATCTTTATTTCCCTGAAATACTGTGTCCTTTGGTTTCTTTATTTCAGCAAGTAATGGCTGTTTGGAGAAGGGATGAGTGTGTTCCTGTAATTGGGCAGAGACCTAGTAAAAGGAACAGAATGTACTGAGGGAGACTTTGTGCTGTGTGATCAAAACTAGGAAAATCATTCAGCCTTAGAGAACAGACATAATTAAACAGAAAGAAAAAAAAAGCGGTAAAGAAAATGGCCCAGAATAATCTCTTAGGCTTCCCCCACAAAGCAGAATTTTTCTCTCCTGCAGGTGCCAACCCCACTGAAAGAACACAGATGTATTCTTCAGGTGACATCACCAAACTCTGGCCAGCCCTAGAGATGGAAACCCTCTCCTTAGGTCCAAATCTCCATTCTGAATCATATAGAAAGTCCCAAATCTCAGGATGTTGGGAGCAAACAAACTAAGAAGTTATGTAATCTGATACTGCTCTAAAGGCAATGTGAAGTCATGCAGTTTGGCTTGTCCTCAAGCATGGGTGTAACACTAATTTCTTCATTTGAGACAAAATTAAATTAAACAGTACAGAAAATGGAACAGAACTTTAAATCAAGTGGTAGTGGTTCATTTAGCAAAGGATCAGATTTCATATCATGTGGGCACATCTTCCTTTTTTGCTCATGGTTCTGCATAGCGGCATTCAGATTCCTATAAAGGTGAAACATAAAAGATGGCCTGAGATTCCTAAAGAAGTCCCAGGGAGATCCAGCAACCTTTGGAAAATTGTCTCCTTGTTACAGACTCTAATAGTCAACCATGAGGAAGGACTCCTATAGAGTTTGTTACCCAAGGACATAGAAATGTAAATTGTAAATAGATATGATGGAATCAAATAATACATAATATATTTTTCAATTTATACCTGGGTGTATATATAATTTTTAAAGTTATATATACATGGTGTAATGTGGGAAGTAATTTCAACCCAAACATGGTGGCAATGATCATGATTTATTTACTTTTTATCAGGGACCTGGAATAGTGAAATTCATGTGGGCAGGATGGAAGTGGAGGAGAGAAAGGACAAAGAGAGGTGGGTGAGGAAAGGAGGGGGAGACACTGAGCACCCACTCTATGCATTCTACAGCTTTAGTCAAGACTGGTGTCTGTAGACTAGACCAAAACACCTAAGTGAGTGAGGAGAG